GAGAAGCACTTAATTTTCACTGTGCAACCATGCAAGTGTTTACACCAACAAACTGGCTAGGACAGGGAAGGGTGAGAACAAGTATATACTGTTGTAAACAAAAACTACTTATGCCAGTGCTGGTATTAAAACTAATTAATAAATACTCTCCATTTATACTCTCCAGTGTAGCTCAGTTACATACACCACCAAGTGAGGTTCAACAATTCCACCTACCCTTAATGTGTTTCATTTTCCATCTATTTCCTATCCAAGGTTTCATTCACATTCAGTGCTGATGCTGCTGAGAGTCTCTGACTGCCTCCTCAGACAGTAACGTTTCACATTATAACCGAGCAAATTCAACGGCTCCCTCCCACCCACAGGGCAGCCCACTCCCGTTACTGCACATTCCACCCCTGCTTTGCTGGCATTCATTAGGGCAACCAAACCAACAGAAAGTTATTCCTGCCTATCAGCTACACCCTTACACGCCTCGGGATACAAATGCAAATAGGCTTTAGAGTCAGGCCCATCAGTAGTCCCCGGAGCCAGTTATTTCTCAGCCCTGGTTTAAATCTGACCAGCTACAGGCATTGTATGAACTGCATAAAGATGTCTCTTCCTGGATCTGGGACAATACATAACTATCTTCCCTTTGCTTCCAGGTGCCCCAGCTGATTGTCCCTGCCCAATACGATCATTTTGAAGTCCCCAAATATGTTTATGAACTGTATTGAATATGACAGAAGTTTTCTGTTACATGCATATTCTGCCCAGGTTATGATCCCAGGTTATGACAGTAGCTATCCATAGGGGATACACAGTTTAACAGAGATGACAGATCTAGGAGCCAATTTCTTTAGCAATACAGGCCTATTAAAATATGTTATTTTCCTCTTTACCCTTATCTTTTACTGCAGTCTTGAATAAAAGAACCCAGAAGCTGGCATGTGGCCACCACATTTAAAAGAGCAGCCTAAACTATCATTAAGATTAAGCACAAGAGCAGTGTAATTCCATGCTATTGCTGAAGCAGTCACCGAAGGGAAGGCAGAGTCAAATTTCCCTACACCAGAAGGGAAATTGCTTTCCTTTGCTCTCCCTAAACAACTAATTTCATATGACTACTTAGTGTACAGGGAAGAATGCTGAAAGCACAAGAGCTGGAATGAAAGTTTTCTTACCTGCTCTGCAGGACTCAGGCTGACACACACACACAGAAGCAAGGCTTGTGCATTACAGCTGTGTGATGGTGTGCAAGACAACAGATCAGAAATCAAACACAGACAATTTTTAAATCAGCAGTAAAATAAGTAAGGATGGCACGTGCACACAGCTGCCCAGGTAAGCCATGGATTCCAACAGTAACTATAATCTTTATGGATGACCTTCACTCTTATATAGAATTTCAATAATGCTTTTCCATAAGAGCAAACGTGAAACTTGTGCCAGCCCAGCTACGGGACCAGTCCCCAGCTAAGGCATTCTGGCACCAGCTCTACTCCTGTAACTATTTATGCAAATGAGTAGCTCATTAGCTTCAACTGGTTTACTGATTACTACATTACTACAGTTAATGACACAGGCACACCTTGCCAGGATGGGGCTCACTGTTAGAAAAAGCTGCCAAACTTTGAACTTGAGCATTTAAAAACACACTTTAGCCCCTTCTGTGTGATAACAGCCTATACATCTTGGGTTTGGTACTTTAAGTTACTATGTCCTTGAAGTTGTTAGCACAGGTTTTTCTTAACTAAAATGAAGTTTTTAAAATATTACAAGCTTACACTCCATCCTCAGGGTAAAGGTTTTCCATCTAACATCTTAATGTCAATTAGATATGACTAAAAGCAAGTACTATTACATGTAATGAAATTAAGGCTCCACTTGAACATGCAATGGGATAAAACTGATTTCCTTTGTAGCATGTGGTTGGTGTAAGAACTGTTTCCGTGAAAGCGCACAGAAATCATGTTAAGACTTTGATCCATAGGATCTACATGGCAAAGTAGGATCTGAAGTTCATTTATCATCAACTCTGGAACTTTTATGTCTGCAACTGTGTAATTGTTATCTCCACCTCATTTACTAAGCCTTTTAATTTTCTTTCTCCTTTTCTCTCCATGCCAGGAAGGAACAAACTCCTATGCAAACTTCCTCTAGACTCACACCAAGAATAATCCTTTAAAACCTTATAAAACCTCAGTAGTCCAGGAAGTGCAGCAACGCCCAAGCACTAAACTCAATTTTATTTTCAAGTTAATAGACAGTCTTACAATTTTGTTTATATTCATTTAAATGCTTGTCTATTTGATTCCGTCTTTTCAGTTCAAAGTCCAAGCACATAAGGCCCAATGTAATTTCTCTGCAACATGAAAATACTTTCCTAAATTCTTTCTAAATTTCAACATAAACTCCACTTTTGCTTGTCCCAACAACATTCTCTCTCCCTCTGTCTGTGTATGTATGTACAAGCACCCCCTGGATATATGGATTTTACAGAACTATTTACGACATTTAAATTCAAATTTATTGAAATCCAAACAAGTAACTTCCACGTCAACTAAGATAAGGAAATTACAAGTTTTTCTGTGTGGAAATATATGCTATTCTTGAATGCAACTGTTCAAAGACTATCTTTCACATGAGTTAAGCCAAAAGGTCATCAGCCTTTCCAAATAATAGAAGTTTTGAATATCCAAAACTTCATACTGGAAAGCCAGAAAACACACAGCACCCTTATAGTTCTTCAACTGAAACACACCCAATAAAAAAGAAATTCCAAGGGACAGTACACCAGACACAGCAAAGCATCAGTACTCAAGGAAACTGGAAATGTCACAATATCCTAATGTTTTTCACTACACTTTTTCCATATAAAGAGCCTTCAACTCACCCCCACAACTCTGGATTATAATGTCTCTTCACCTACTCTAAATGAAACACAAAGTGCTTTGGTTGTTAGTCAACAACAAAAGTGTTAATACGAGAAGTTGTTTCATTTGTTGGTTCCTTTTGTTTTTTTTTTTTACCCTTATGGCAGAATCAAGGCATAGTTCCAACACAAATGTGAGCCATCTACTAATTTTCAAGGCACCATCCTAAATATGTAGGTGTTTTAAGGAGACAAAGTGTTTCATGTAAACACAACTGCATAGACACACATAAACAACTTGTTATTGCTGCAATATCATTACTGGAAACAGGTGAACCTCACTGAAACCTCCCCTCAAAAACCAGCCCACAGCATGGGAGATTTCTGCCTTAACAGCTGACCTATTTCCAAATATTTTAAGCAATAAAACCTGAAATGTTATCATGAGCCTTACTCACCAGACAGTAGCACTACCAGCTCCAACCTCTGTAACAGGTCTTACAGAAGTAACTCTCGATACAAATTTTTACCACCTGATTTTTCACTCACACATCATCTTACCAAACCTTGTTTTTCGCAGTGGGAACACAATGGCAGCAGTGTTGTGTCCCTTGGTAATACCCATTCTCTTTCCTGAACAGCTTTGTAAGGTTTATCTGCTTGGGCACAGTTGTTGGCTATGCAAACCCCAACCATCCCTTTCTTGTACAGCTGCTAAACACCAAGACGTTACATGCAAAGAGCACATAATATGTGCCTTCTTTCCTAGATTTTCTAAGAATATTCAAGCCAAGTGCAACACCTGGTTTACAGAAAATTCCATTTTACCCAAATCTGCATTTAGACAAAAGATGATTGATTTTCCGTAGTACTGGCTCTGAGAATATTAGAAGTAGGATTCTGATTAGCTACCAACACACAGCAAGCTATAAAGTTAAAGCAATTGACTGGAAAATAATGCAAGTGAAATCAGTAAAAGATTTGTAGATGTGACAAGAAGTGAAACTAATTTCATAGCAGGTGAAAGGACTCTAATTAATATGGTAGCATTTCTGTTTTTCTCATCACAGACAAAATAACTCCCTTCCTATTTGCTGAAAAATAAAACCAACTTAAAAGCCATTTCTGAATGAAGAATTAGCTGGTTTTGTTAAATTTTGAGCTTATAAAGGCTGAGGAAATAGCAGATTCCTCCTGAGGTTTTTCTTCAAATCTACTTAGTTAACACAAGTGAAGAAAATAATAACAGTAATGGTTGCTTCCTCTTAAAAAGGTTGCACTTCTCTTTTGATTTGGGCCAAGCTGAAGTCAAATTAACTGTGTTATATTTCAACTGTTTCACTGTCATTCATTACTTCCTCCTCTCCTGAACACATCCTCTTCCATCACAACAACTGAATCAAGACGGAGTTTTCCAATCTCCAGGCATTAAAAATTGCCATTACTTTCTATAATAGGTATTTCAATTTCAGATAATTTGGGCCATTTTTAAAGCAACTGTTGCAATAATTCTTACGAAGAAAAAAAAAAATCTTATTCTTGTCTTTCCCAAAATCTTACCTACAAAATGAATCAGGCTTCCTACTTTCTTAACTGATACAGCTGCTACTGTGAAATTAAAAAATACATTACTCTTTTCAAGAGTCTTTTGCCAGAAAGCAAAACTGATTTTCCTGTCACTGTCTTTAATTTTGATGCTACTTTAGTTGGTGCAGTTTGAAAACGAAAGAAAAATTATTTAAGTATAAATAGTACTTTCCTTTAAAACTGAAGCTTTGCTTCGTAATCGCCATTTAGCAAATTAAAGAAATCATAATCGTCACTAGAAGAACCATTTCTGCATAAGTCCAATATGAACTTCACTGCCTGCCTTCAAGACGTTCAACAAACGCTTTCCCCAAAGCCTTACTAGAGATAATTGACGATCATTGAGATTATTCGACTGCACTAATTACATTAAACGACTTCGTTAATATCTTCCACTTCGCACTATGCAATGCGAACCCTCTTCCTCCCCCCACCTCCCCCGCGACAAACATCTGTCCGCGTCTCCTCTCCGAATGAAAACATCCACTGAACCGCCGATACCATGAAGCGGATTTTTGGTAAGCGATTATATAACTTGTTTCTTTCCGAGCGCTGCTGCAGCATGCGTTACTATCAACTGACGGAAACCGAAGCCTCGCCGCTGGGAGGTGGGGGGCGAACACACCACTTTTTCTTCCAAGGTATCGCTCGCCGGTGCGAAAGGATGAGGGGTCTGTGCCCAGCCAGGGCAGCGAGGCAGGGGCTGGGCAGGGGCACACGCCGAGCTCCGGGGCCGCCGGGCTGTGCCGCAGCTCTCCAGCCGGGAGCGGGGCTCGCCGGCCCCGCGCACCCACCCACCAACTTTTGCGGCTCTGCCCCGCTCCCCCCGCCTCCCGCAGCGACTCAGCCCGATCGCGCCCACACTCACCGGCGGGACCCCGGTACCGTGTGTGTGTGTGTCTGGCGAGCCCCTCTGCCGCGCCCGGAGCAGGTGCTCCGCTCCTCCCAGCCGCCCGCCGGGCTCTGACGGCGGCAGGTCGGGCAGTGGCTCCCCTCCGGACGGGCACGGGGCGGGAGGCGCCGCTCGGCTCGGTGCGGTCTCTCCCTGCCCACAGCAAGGCGCGGGGGCAGCGACCCCCGCCCCCGGAGCGCTGCTGCCGCTGGAGCGCCGCTCACCTGCTCGGCTGCCGCTGCTGCCCCTGAGGAGTCTCGTCCCCCTTCTCCTCCTCCTCCTCCTCCTCCATGGTGCCGCTCCACCCCTTGCACGGCGGCGGCTCCGCGGCCCTCCAGCAGGAGCTGCTGAACGGCTGCGGCGTCCCACCTGACCAGCCCGCCGCCGACGGCGGAGCGGCGAGCTGCAGGGACCAGCTCCACAGCGCCCAGCGCCTCACCATGGCGGGCAGTGCTGCGCGGCGCCCAGCCCCTCACCATGGCGGGCAGGAGCTGCAGGGCGCCCGGCCCCTCACGGTGGCGGGCAGAGGCTTCGCACAGCCCGGCCCCTCGTGGGTTGAGGCGCCGCGCCCGGGCTCGGCCCGGCAGCGCCTTCGCAAGATGGCGGCGGGGGGGCCGGCGCTGGGGTATCCCGCAGCCACGGCGGGACAGTGCGAGTGCTGCCGGCCCGTCCCGCCGCTGCAGGGCGGGCTGCTCGTCGGCACCGGGAAGGGAAGCGTTCCGGTGTGCTCCTGGCCGGCTCCGCGGGTTGGTAAACGCTGCCCGCAGTCCCGTTCAGGAGGACGAGTATGCTGCGGTGAAGTTTCCTGGTCTCGGTTTCCTCAGCGAGCCGGGGCAGTGCCCTCACCCTCGAGGGTACCGACACCCACGGGAGGTGCCGTGTACGGGCGAGGCAACCCTCCCGCAGAGCCGCCCACGTCCCAGGGTCCTGTGTCCCCACGGCCATTTCCCCACGAGAGGAAAGTACAAAATTCATGGCCAAGTCACTTCACGTGCTGGGGCATAAAATCATCCCCTTCTCCCCCTCTCTGCATCTGTGAGGAGTTCACAGGCGGCTCCAGATGATGGGCCGAGCAGTGAGGCATTTTGAGGCACCCAATGCAGAGAAAGAAAGAAAGCCAGAAATAAATATGTATTTTTCAAATATTTCCTTACCTCCTTAAGCACATGGGAAAGCAAAAGAAAGCAAAGCTATGTGGGTGTGATATGAAACCACCACCTCTCCCCCCCCCCATATGCAGCAGTAATATGAAATCTAAGACTATCTGGAGTTCTCATAACACGCTTATGTACATTTATCTTAAAGCTCATGAAAAGATGAATTATGAAGATTTCTTCATGATTCAAAAAAAATTGATGAAGAAATCTTAATGTTTAGAGGCCAAAGCTTTCATGGTAGGTCTTGGGAGACTAGAAACATGACCCTTACTGTTCTGATTAGTCTATCATTCTCTTAGTTTCCTTAAGGTAAAAGAAAAATAATAACTAAGTTATCCTGTTTTGTATAAGTTATCTGTCATCTCTGTTGTGTACATACCAATACAGATATGTACTGTTTGTTTATTAGGTCAGGCAGATTTGCTGACATTTAGCAGTGAAAGTTGCTGACTTATTTTTTACTTTTGGTCCTTCTCATCTGACATTTCCTGATCATTTCATCTCCTATCACTATGTCTAATGTTAGGCTGGCCTTGTAGTAGCAATGACTTTCACTCAAAATTATTAAACACAAATCTATGTTGATTAAAGTTATTTCTACTGTTACTTTATTGAATGTAAGATCTAACTCACCATGAGTTAGATGATAAAGCTGTTCTGATCAATGACCATTCACAGTAATAATTAGTGCCTATGTATAGAAACCTGTGTAAACCACTAGGTAAGTGCTTCCAGGCTGGTAGTAACTGATTGTCAACAGTAGCAGATTTGGTATGCTCATCCTGCACTTCAGCTGAGTATCTTCTGGTAGGCAGCTCTGCCTCCACGTGTCATGTGGAAGTAGTTTGTATATCAACAGTGCTGCAGAAACCAAAGTTCAGGAGGCTCTGCTTCATTAAATGTGTTTTGTCTGTACTACAAATAGAGATGTCAACACTTGGAGGCCATAAGTAAAGACACCTGGTGTCTGTGCAGCATGCAGTTTTCAATTTGGAAAGGAAACATCTCTCTTCTAGTATAATAACTGGTGAAGAATGATATGGTTGTTCAAGTAAATCGTGGCACTGCTAGAAGTGTATATCAGGTCCTTTTACCAACTGTGACATGCCAGCTTGCACAACATGAGAAAATTCAACTTCATAGGTGCTGTTCAACAGAACAAGGATTTTAAACTATTTTCAGTATTCCCAGGAGCCAGCTACGATCTCAGTCTAGTTTTGCTGCTTTGGTGGGTTTTGATCTTTAAATGTCTTATGTGCACAAACACATCTAAACTGAGGAAGAGTCCCGGTCTGTGCTCAAATAGTTGTGTAAACCCAGACCAGATCCCTCTGACTCTTTATATACCCCAGACGTGCTAATATGCTTAGAGGACTGATGTTAGGATCCTGCAAGAGTTGGAGGCCAGAAGTTACTAACAGATGGGAAGGATACAGCCATCTGTGCGTGAGGTAAGAGTTTTTGCTTGGCACTAGTCTTAATAAAGAGAGTTTTAATAATTTTATTTCCATCAGTGGCATGCACTCCTGGCATTTTTACTGCTCAGACTGGCCCTATATATTGTCCAATATATATGGAAATAAAAAAGTTATGGGAGCTTCTTTGTACTGAAGAGGCACAGATACTGAGGGATAGCAAAGTGAGGTTATTTTGAGGTCAGTGCATTTGATTTTTCTCACGGTGAAATTTAACAGCTGAAACAGAATAATTTTTTATTGAAGAAGATTTTGGGATATACCATTTCATTAACTACTTGGAAGGGTAAGTTCCTTAACATAGGTTAATCTGCTTAATGCAACAACCTGTATCTTAATTAGAATCTGTTTCATGAATTGTATCTGCAGTGGTGTCTTTCCCTTGAAGATAGTGTTTGCATTAATCATGGGCAGGACAGCTCAACTAACTTGATTATGAAATTTCTCTCGATGAAAGGTTTAACCTTCTATGCAACTGAAGTTTATCAGCGTTTTGTTTAGATCTCTCAAGTGTAGAGTTAATGTCTTTTCCACAAAGTTTAATTTAGTTGTTTGACATAAGCTGTTTCAGAGCAAGATACTCATTGTCTTGGGCAGTAACTGAAGCACAATCTAAAGGAACAAGAAGTAGAAATACTTACAGTTAAAATTTTTGTAGCTTTATAACTGAGCTGTCTTGATTGAAAGTCATCTCAGATAACAAAATAAAAATGTTGTACCATCTCTTGCTCTATCCTAGAATATCAAATAATAATCCAAAATCCCTTTAGGCTGAGGCTTGCTATGTACTAGGCAATGTTTACTGTTATAGTGCAGATGCACTTTATTGCAGCAAAAAACTACATTTGGTTTGGACAGTTTGTGCTGGATATCTGAGTGAAATAAACTATCCTAGCAAAAAAAAAAAAAAGCCTTTCATTACTCTAAGATTGGCTATACTGGAACTTTTACTAGCATAGAAATTTTGCACCAAATGGAATTCTACTAGGCTAGTAAAATCCTCTCTGGCAAAACTGGCCAATATTGGGACATAATCAAAAAACCTAACCTAGCCCTTCTAATTACAGTTTGGAGGAGTAACCACCCTTATGGTGTCCACCCTGTTTTGGAGAGAAGTGAAGGCAGAAAAGTTACTTGGCAGTTGTTGCAGGCAGAGGTAAGCAGAGTTTCAAATCATGTTGAATGTTAAGTTACCCAGTGAAACATATATATATATATATACATATAGGTATAAAATGCTTGCCAGGAATGTTTAATCAAAACATTAAATAGACCTAGGTACAAAATTTATATATAATCAATATACAGTACTTAATTAAATGACTGTAAATGTTATGTTTACCATTACAAATCCAAACCTCATATGATAAAGAATTTGACAGTTTTGGGGACTATAGAGAAGGAATTTAGAATCTACAGTTAATACTCAGAAACACATTTTGTTTTGCTTTATTTCCAGATGCCTAGCTGATATATTTTTAACTTCTGCTTAGGGAACAAAACTGGGGACCATAATAGAGACATTTATTTTGTATAATACCAGTAAGGGGCGAGGAGCATTCTCCAGCCCTAACACCAAATTCTCCAATGCATGTATTTTTGTACAGATAAACTTCCTAGCCCTGAAGAGCAGGTGGCTGCATCAGAATTGCTGTTGTAAGTCTTACCAGGCCCACGCTAATCCCTGATCCATGAGACTGGGAGAATGCTCATTGGCATGAGCCAAAACTCAGGTAGCAACCTTGCTGGTGATTTAATGCTTACTGAAGTGCAATAACATCCAGGTGAGTGTTGTTGTTTACTGGAACACATCTAGCCTTAGACAACACCTGATTTTGAGATTATCCTTGTGTCTCAGAAGAAATTAAAGTTGTTAGGTCTCTTTCAAAATCAGTGAAGCTTGGCAGTGTCATTGTGAACAAGCATGACATGATGCTTTTATAGTCAGTACCTGATAATGTATTGTTACTCCATAACATTTTGCAATATTGCTATCATTAAAATTTATTTAGGTAGTCCAATTACAGTGTCTAAAAGGTCGGATCTGATCCAGATTCCTATGTGAGCAGGACTATTCAGTAAGAAAACTCCTTGCCCTTTTGCAGTTGAATTTTTAATTGGGCAAAAGGTAGAGTAACATGTTTAGTAAACAAGAAAAAACATTCTGGATTTACAAAGCAGACAAAAAATAAGAATATGTAGGGTAGCTCCTAACACAGTTTGTTATGGATGTCTTGATTTTAATTGTGAATCAGAAATTGTAGAACACTGTGCTGTTTTCATTGCAGGCAAGATGGTAACAAACTGTTTCTTTGTGTATAAATGCATTATGGAAAAGCGTACCTCTGTCATTTTAGACTGATACTAAAATGGATTGAATTTGTGACTGTTCTTTATTTAAGGGAGTGTTTCTTATCCTTAGTGCCATGCCTTGAATGTGAATGTTGGCAATCGAGAAGGTCTTAACTTTTACTTACCGATTGCTCATATATTTTGAGAGCATTTGTGGAGACACAAATCCACACAGAGACATAAATTCATACATAAACAGACCTCTTGAGAAACAACAAAACTGAACAAGCTTGCTGTCTTCTTCATGCCTGTTTACTGCTCTGTAGTTTCACCCTCTCAGTGCAATAATCCAAACCCTCTTCTTCCTGTGCCTTCCATGGCATCTGTTTGGGCAAGAGACGGCGTGTGCTGTGGTTACTCCAGTTAGTCCTATGTGCAGGCAGACTGGCCAGCCAGTGCTCGTCCCCACTGCCAACTGCTCAGATAGCATGTGCTGTTGTGTTCTGCCTACTTTTCCCATACTCATGTAACTAATTCAAGTCTCCTTCCTATATCCAGATACTGGTGTTAAAGAAAGTTACAGGGATTTAATTACTTTGGGCTGTATTAGGTTTACTTCAGTGGTGTATTATTACCCCTGCTATTCCTATTATTAGTAAGTCAGGATTTATAATATATGAGCAGTAGTAAGGAGCTAGTACTATTACAATGCTCCGAGGCCTTGGTCCCTTGACTGACCAGAACAGATGTCTTTGGAGCGTCATCTATATCCCACCAAACAGAAATTTCTAATTTTTACTTCCTATGAAAACCAGGCTGCAGGGAAAAGGACAAATGCACACCCAGGATTCTTCACAATGTGAACTGGGATGCACTTGAGTTGTCAACCTTCACTAAGAAATCAGGAATTGCTCTAAGATTTCCCAACCCAGAGAAAGCCCCTGAAATGTCTTTCCTTCTTTCAAATATTGAAATTGGCCAACTAGTTGACACAAAGGCACAGAGCATGGCTTCACAAGAAACATGGCTAAAATCAGATAATGGTGATGGTATTGTAACCGAGACCTTCTGCATAGTTTCAAACAAATTAGGTTTTAGATTACAATGAAAAATACATTGTGAAAAGGGAAAACAAGAACAAAATAATTACTTTTTAAATCATATAGTGTTGGGAAAGAAGGTGTATAACAATGGGGTAAGTCAAAGCTTCCTTGTGATTGCTTGTAGATATTCAGATTCACAGACCATCTTTTTCCTTGTCTACATAAACTGTTTTTGTAGCTTTGTCATACAAGTATCATAGAAATACAGGGTTAGAAGGGGCTTCAAGAAATCCCATAGTCCAAACCACTACATTCAGTGGGGATCTTTCATAATTGGAGTATTATTGTAACTGTCAGCATCCCATGCAGGCATGCTCTGGGCCACATGGAGCTGCTTTCAGCTGTTAAGCTGCTGCTCTGGCACTAATGAAACTGCTGGGTTCCCAGGCTGACCTCAGCACTCTGCCACTGCCCTCCTGAAATGTGTCTGAAACCTCTTCTTCATCCACAGCTCCCAGGAGGGAGAGGGAAAGGAAATCCACTTTGGTTTTAACAGCTGGCACTGGATAGGGGAGAGAGTTATAAATAAATGGAAATAAAGAACGAGGGCATGCGACTGAAGCCCCATGATGGTCACTTCTTGGTATGGCAACAGATGAGCAGTGCTCTGAGTGACAAAATATCACTCTGAATGTGTAGGCACTATGATAATGTCAAAAGAGGCTCATTTGAATTGGGATTCAGGAGGATCCTCTATTTAAATCCTGTCTGAACCTCTGACAAGCTGCATGACCTTCTACTATATACTGAGCTCCATGGGTCAAATTGGTCCTTGCTGCAACTAAATTGACTACAATGAAATTATTCTGGGAGTGAACTTGATTTCTCAGATGTCAGTCAACACAGCTGGTTCACTGAATAAATGAAAGAAAGCAATCATAGACGTCAATGGAAAACAGATGCATCTGAACCAAGTCTTTTGATTTTAGCAAAAGTGGAGCAGAACTGCACAACTGTTACTTAAAATGCATAAATAATTGCTGCTGGTGGTTTATTGACAATGTAAACTCTATGAAGGTAACAGAGGTGTAAAAGTGCCATTGTCTTTCTTAGAGGGAATCTATTTATCTTATATATTATTTAAAACTTGGGAAATGACTGATGTTTCTTTAAGTATTCTGGTATAGATAGGTTTTTCTTAAAAGAATTAATAATGTTAAATGACTCAGGCATTTATGCTGAGTCATTTCCATTAAAATGCTGCACAGTGGTAAGCTTCTTCCTGTAGAAAATGCTTTTAGAGTCAGATAACAATGATGTTAATTAATAAAAGATAATGGTTATTAAGAGTGTCACAGGCAGAATGAGAGCTTCAGACAAAGTTTATTGGGGAGACCCACTCCCCACTGAGTCATGAGGTGCAGAAAGGACCCTGTTGCTCTCTAAACTTGTCTCAGAGAGGGGTCCAGGTGCAGCTGCATCCATTCCTACTCCTGGACTTGGTCAATGGTTTATGTCTAAAGGATTATGTAGGTGTAATTGAGCTCTGTCCCACAGGAATAAGGATGGCACTCCAATTATATTTATATGAATAAAATAAATTATTAATTTAAATTGATGATGATAATAAGACTAAAAGACCTTAATCAGAATTATTTACTACACAGTATAGGTAGCTATAACGACTAGTTTAGTGCATATGTATTGAATCAAAATTGAAGCAATAGTATTAAAGCTAGCAAAATAATGATGGAAATTGATGTTACTCACCTGTACAACAACTGTGGGTAAATCTCTTTTGCTCAGCCTTGAGGAGTAACCTCAAAGGGCATACCCACTCAAGAGAGGAATTTCCACACACACTTCACAAGGGGTATGTTAGAAGACCCTGCCATTCAAAAGTGGGACTGGGCCTTTATAGCATAAAGTGAGTGACTGTCAGTCCTATGTCTGCAGGCTCAACAGCTTTAGATATGTTATCAGTACTAGCACTTGTTGGTTCCTTTATCTAGAACTTTGCCACCCACATCCTCACAGCTGCCAGTTTCTGCTGGAAAACCCTGAATGTCTAACTTTGGGATTAGTAAGTCAGTCTGGCCTCAGCATTCTTCAATATTGAAAGCAGCTGACCCCTGTGAGGTGAATATCACGAAATTCCAATGAGGCTCAGTGCAAGGTCCTGCATATGGGTCAGGGAAATCCCAGGCAAAGTACAGGCTGGGCAGGGGATGGATCGAGAGCAGCCCAACACAACCCAGCACTGTGCGCTCGCAGCTCAGAAAGACAAACGTATCCTGGGCTGCATCCAAAGCAGGGTGGGCAGCAGGTTGAGGGAGGGGATTCTTCCCCTTTACTCCGCTCTCATGAGACCCCACCTGGAGTACTGCATCCAGGTCTGGGGTCCCCAAAGTAAGAAGGATGTGGACATGCTGGAGTGAGTCCAGAGAAGGGCCACAAAGATGATCATAGGGCTGGAGCACCTCTCTTATGAAGACAGGGTGAGGGAGTTGGGGCTGTTCAGCCTGGAAAAGAGAAGATCCAGGGAGATCTTCAGGTAGAGGACCTTCCAGTATCTAAAGGTGACCCACAGGAAAAATGGAGAGGGACTTCTTACAATAGCATATAGTCACAGGACATGGGATAATATGGCTTCAAACTGAAAGAGAGTAGGTTTAGATTAGATATTAGGAAGAAATTCTTTCCTTCAGGGGTGGTGAGGCACTGGAATAGGTTGCCCAGAGAAGCTGTGGACTCCCTATTTAGGCCACTGAGTCTTGATGTCTGTGTACCTGTGTCACTAGGTGTGCTTGTTTTGGCTGGA